AAAAAAACACAAGTAAAAAGTCAGTAATAAAATAAGAACAAATAAAAAAATGGCAAACAGCACAAATAAATGCAATAGAATAAAGAGAGCTATGAAACTAAGTTTTTCAGGTTAAGTAAGTTGAGTTTAATGTTCCAAAACTGACTGTGTTTAACTGGATACTCGCCAAGACGGGCATTTTGACAATTTTGTATGTATTTTGTATGTACGTTTTAGTGCAGTTAGCCACTCATTTTGGTATTTGTGGCTCACAAGCTGTTTGAGACTGAGTGCTGCTTGTGCGCTCCACTAATATAGATCAGTGGTGGTGAGCACGCGTTTGGTATAAGCGCGAAACCTGCGGGAATGACTAAAATAATGCGCAATACAAGCAATATTAAACCGGAGTGAATGAGACGTGTGTGAGAGAGAAGAGGTCGTCGGAGAGAAGAGAGCGAGAATGCGTGGCTGACGTTATTGCCTGTGCCACTGGTAACAAAACGGATCGGCTCGAAATCGGAAAGAAGTGAGACTGACCGACTGATCATCGATCCGGGCCGATCATGAGGAAAATCGGCCGATACTGATCCCTGGTCGATCGATCGGTGCATCTCTAATAGCTGGTGAAAAACTGTATGAGAAGTATGGGAATAAGTATGGCCGAATTCACAGTACTCATAAAAGAGTAGGCAAAAAGTACGTGGATGACCTACAACTTCCAGAGAGATTCTGAAGTGTCCATATGATGGACCCTTTACTATTCCATAGGGCCACAGGAGAGGATTTGTGAATGACATTAAAGTGATACAACTAACGCATACTTTTTTAGTGGTCACAAAGTATTTACTCATTCAAAATAAGTACCAAATCAAAAGAGCATGTGATTTCAGATGCAGCTATCAGGTGGAAACGCTGCCGTGTTTGCTAATCGTTTTTTCTGTATTGTGCTTTTTCGCAACTTGGATGCATACACAGCAACTGACAGAGCACCCCAATATTGCCGGTACTGTATGCCGGCACTTATTAGTTTGATGCAGTGTTTGAATTAGTATTATAAAAGTTGGATATAACAATTGGGGTATTGGTGCAGGGTGTCAAAAAATATGAAACCTTAAAACGGGTCATGGAGCAAAAAATTATTTAGAACTCTTGCACAAAGGTTAGTAAAACTCTCCTTTTCATCCAGGCTTTATTGAGTCTCTGGCCCCTTCTTAGTCTCATTTTCTGTTTCTCCTGTTCTTAATTACCTTGTGGTAAGTATGTGTGGAATCTGGAGAGGGGAGAAGGCAGTCCATGGGCCCTGTCAGCCTGACCCGCTTTGTTTCGCTTGTATCCCTTTTCAGTACTTGCCAGAATCGCAACAAATTTCCCTGACCGTTCCTGCCCCCAACCACCTCTTGCCTGATTTTCAGCTGTTTAGTCTGTGGCTGGTTTTCCCAGCCGTGGTTCTGGCACTGAGGCTGTTGGCTTTTGCTCATGGAGGGGCTTACCGTACAAGAGATTCATAGGTTTACAGCACAAATCCCCCCTAGGGTTCCCAACGCTCTAGAGAGACTGGACTAAAACGGTTCTTGTCAGCTTTGGGATAGACATGACAAATTGTTCTAGATGGTGGAAAAAAATATTTTATCACTAGGTCATGAACTGGTAATAAGCCCTTGTTACATCATACATAAACAGATCTTACACCATCTGTGTAAGTTGTGGTGCATGCAGTGTTTTCAAGTCAAAGTTGTGACACAAAACATATTGACACTTAATTTCTCAATACAGAAAAAGCACAAAAAGCAGACTGACTCTCAGTTCTGTACCATACCACTTCTTGTATCTACTCCAAACAAAGCTACTTTGGTATCGGAGTCCTTTCTTCATGAGGCACTTCCTAAACTGACTGACTCAATAGTTAAATTGAGTGTTTTTATTAATCAATTTCTAATTCTGATGTGTTCTCTAAGGTTGGGAAATCATAAAATGTAGACCAGTGTTCCTATAGAAATGTTAACAGATGTGTGTGCAAATATGGTTTATTCATCTATAACAGTGATTTCCAACCAGCTTCCGGGGGTACACGGCATTGGAAATATTTCAGTTATGCAAATCACTAGTGGTCAATCAATATTGCTTTTTCCATGGCAGGCACTAATATCTAGAATGTAGACTAGCCATGACAATGCTAATATACACACACCACTAAGAAGTTTAGAGTCAGTAAGATTTTATTCATTTTGAAGAAATTAATACTTTTATGCATTAAATTGATCAGGAGTGACTGTAAAGACATCTATAATGTTACAAAACGATTTCTATTTTAAATCATTTTGAGTGTTCTATTTATCAAAGAATATGAAAGAACACATCTGATTTCGGAAGGATCATGTAATATTGATGACTGGATTAATGGCTGCTAAAAAATGGAGCTTTGCCATCACAGGAATAAACTATATTTGAAAATATGTTAAATTAACAACGAAAAAAACAGCTACATTTGAAAATGCAATAATATTTCATGATATTACTGCTTTTACTGTATTTTTTATCAAATAAATGCAGACTTGGTGAGCATTAGAGACTTCTTTAAAAACACAAAAAATCTTACTGACAATAAACTTTTGAATGTTAATGTATAATACAATACAAATAAGTTGTACACACATGCTTTATAGCTGAATCGCATCAACACTGTTATCCAACTGAATTGAATCATCATAAAACAACTCAAGCTGAATAACAACATTGCTAGCTTATGTAGAACCGTTTTTAGATGAATTGTAGCTACTTGTTTCGATATAGATGAACTTTACATTGTTATTGGACTGAACTGAACCAACACTGACCTAACTTGAGCTAAATAATGAAACTATTGTCTTAAAGAGCTGCTTTACAGCAAAATCTGAATTATCTCCATAGATAAGTTTCCATAATTGATTCCGCTATCTTTCTGTTTATTACTGTGAAGCTCCTTTGAAACAATCTGTCCTGTATAAAGCTCTGTAGAAATAAAGGTGACTTGTCTTGACTCGACATGAGCATGAAGACCTTAATTTAGGTCCATGGCAAATAATGGTTGTTGTTCAATAATTTCCAGTTCTAGTGAATCATCTAACTGCTATGAAGTTTACACCTGCTATTATACACGTATATACACATATATACACATATGCCATACAGATACCAGATATTTGTGTGCAGATTTAGTGCACACTTTATGAATGGCAAGAGGGGGTGTCAGTTTCATTAGTCAAGACTGTCATACACCCAAAACACAATATCAAAACCTGTTGCTAAGCTTAACACATATTGAAACTTTGCAAACATTCAAGCATGTTTATGTAATTACATACTGAACCCTAAGTTAAATACTTACCTGAACTGCACGCAGGTGAAAGAGAGCTCTTCACAGAGTCACTTTCCGTCCTGTCTTCGGAAAGTCGATGTATATCGTGAAGACAAACGTTACAGTTACAGTTAATGCAATATGACTGTCCACAGATATCCAGGCCGCTGCCATTGCTAACGCGCTTTCAGGCGCGCGGACCTCTGAGGGTCTCCCATATCATCCATCAAACTTATTCCTCAGACCAGTTAAGAGAAGAGACCTCTTAAACACACAAAAATACGTAATTTCCAGTTTATGCTGAGAGAAAGTAGCGATCTAGTGACTAGGACGGATTGACGTTTCGTCACGCGACATATATGTATAGCTTTGTGTAGACATAGTAACTACTGCATGGAGTTCAAAATAAATCTGCATAATAACGTCCAAAGGGTAAGAATGTATTAAAATAACCCAAATCGTGCAGAGTTAAGCGAGTTGCTCACATAGAATGCATTTGTAATAGCCGACTGGGGGAAAAGAAGGGATTTCCGTAAATTTGATGGCTTCTTTTCCTGCGTATTTTCCCCCTCCGTCGATGTGTCTGGCCAGCTCACTGCACGAACGGACAGTTTTCACTTTTCTATTGAAAGGCGAATCGGTAACATTCCGTATGTGTTAATGAATCCTGTGCGTAACAACTTTGTAAAGCCAAATAAAGAAGAAAATGCGCCCTCAGCTCGATGCTTGGACAATCTCCGCATTATTATGCGACAAATGATTTTGAATGAAGGCATGGGACTGTGAAAGCAGCCTTCATGTATCCACTTTACCTAAGTAAAAGCGAAAAACGCATGAGGATAACTGCACAGGAATCGCACTGTCGAAGATCTGGACAAAAGAGCGTGCGCGTTACAGTCAGCGGCTAACGTTACTTGAACTTCGAGAACAAATTCCCCTTTCCGCTGATGACGGTTAAACTCAGTTAAAACTCGAGAGAAAGTGCGAAAAATACGCTCCCAGATGGCCGTACAAGCGAATTTGGTGATATTAAGCAGGAGATGGGATCTTTAGGCGACATTAGTCCAAGCACTCTCGTGATGTTGATGATGATAAACAGCAGAAGCCAGAATGAATCTTTAGCAGCTAGTTTCCAGACAGCGAAAAAGCAGTTCGTCACCGGAACCCATGAGCTCGCTGTTCCTTCGAAGCCAGCCGAAAGTTCTTCATGTTAATATGCTCGTGCACGGATAAAATTGCCTTCACGATTTTTCCATCGTCATCGGTGAAAAACAGTGTAATCTCCGTAACGTGTTCGAGATGACAACTGCGGCAAGCACACGGACTCTGCGTACGCTCGGGGGCGCGCTGTGCCTCTCTTTAGCTCATGCTTGGCGACGTCAGAAGTGAGCTAGCAAAGGTGAGATCACCAGTGGTTCCGTATTTAGATAAATCACCAGAGGCGGACAGTAACTAAGTACATTTACTTGAGTATTGTACTTAAGTACACTTTTTGAGTATCTGTACTTTACTTGAGTATTATTTTTTCTGGAAACTTATGACTTTAACTTCACTACATTTGAAAGACAAATATTGTACTTTTCACTCCACTACATTTCTATCAGTCCTCGAAGTAGAAAGTCGTTACTATGTAGCAGCTTTGAAAGTCAGTGGGTGATTTTTTTTCTTCTCCAAAATGTTACTTTCTTTTTTCCAGACAGTTTATCAGTAATCACTCTTGGGGCTACATGAAGTGATTTCTCAGCATGTTTTGAGCACTGCCCAGTTGCAAACGTGATATTTATTTACAACAATTCAATAATAAGTTAATATTGTGGTATATATTAGACACAATATTGTCTGATTTTGCTAAATTGTGTAAGTGAAAATATTACCTATAAAGCCACAGAAGAACTGTTGTGCGTATCCTAATAAAACACAAAAGGTGTTGGACTTGAAGCAGAACTGCACAGACCATTCTGTGTATGACATCAAAGAACAGCGGGAGTAATTAGACATCTTTTTTTGTTTTTGTTTTGATGTCAATAAATCTTGCTGTTTTGCATTTTTGCTAAAGCAGTGTTGCTGTTGTAAAGTTGTACAGCTACAGTTGTGTTGCTGGGTTTTAAAGCAGGTTTGATTTTTTTTTTCTTCCTTATCAGTCAGTATTTACAGGATTTCACTGTCCACTCTGTTCAAATGTGGATGAATGGCTACACATAGATGTGTGCACACACTGTCAGAGCTGTGAGATCACTACCATACTGC